ATGAAAAAAAAAATTTACTAGTAGCTTAATAGTAAACAAAATAGAGGATATTTAGACTAGATGTTTGAGGGAAGTTCTTTATTCAGAGGGCAGTGAGACCCTTGCACTGCTGCCCAGAGAAGCTGCTGATGCCCCATCCCAGGTGCTCAAAGCCAGGTTGGATGGGGCTCTGGGCAGCCTGAGCTGGTGGGTGTCAACCAGCCCATGGCAGGGGGTTGGAAGTGGATGATCTTTAAGGTTACCCAAGCCATTCTATGATTCTCTGAAATCTTTATATACACAAGTCACCAATGAGATCACACTGTATCACAATCATGTAACGTACAGCCACAGCAAGTTTCCATTGTTTTGTCTAAAGCTTCGGTTTAAAAAACTCTTCCTGGATGACCTTAAAATCAGAGCCTAGTTCTCCAAGCCCCTGGGCAACAGCCGTTTCACACTGGAAGAAGGAGGAGACCAGCTGAAAGTAACAAGCATTGCTGAAATCATTTCGTAGTCAGATATCTGAATGGCACTCATGAGATTGCTGGGTATAGAGCTGAGCACCCACCACGTGGATGGTGCCCAGCATTAGCTGGTGCCATGCCCATGCTGTTTGCTGCATGGAACTTTCAGCCTCAGGATCTAACAGCATTCTAGTATCAAATGTCTTATTTTGCCCAACTGAAGACAAACATTCACAAAATAATTATCTGGGGATTACTTGGGTCGATACACCTTTCAGGACACTGAATTTAAATGTTTATGGACTAGTTTAAAATAGTTTGGACAAATATATTAGTAAAATTAGGAAAAATTTACAAACCCAAAGCTGTAACTGAATCCACTTGGACAATGCCAAAAAGGAATAGTTAAATCCCATAATCAACAGGTGTAAGCAGTCAAACTTTATACAAGCCTGTACCAGTCCTATTATGGAGGAGACTCCATGGGACTGAAAACTGAAAACAATGATGAAAGACAGACTGCGCCAAGACTGGGTCATGAGCAGCACTCTTCAACCTGGCACAAGAAAAAGTAATGGAAATTTCTTATTTGGATAAACCACATCTGTCCAGCACTTTGACAGAATTAACAATGATAAGTAAGGTCTGTTGCTGCCACTGAGGCATGTTGATACGAATCTGGTTATTTGCATGATTATAAGCCAGTCATTTTTATAAATATTTTATGAGAAATAGCATGTTCATAAGACTAAAACTCTAAGCTTTTGAAAGACATAGCTCTTTTCTGACTGCATTATAAGCTTATGATCTGATTTATACCAGTATCTCCACTGATTGCGACAGGATGGTCCAAATGAGCAAGGATGACAAAACAGTACCCTACAGACATACACAGCACACCCTTGCAAATGACATACAAACAAGAAGTTCTGTCTGGATATCTGTTCACACTTTTGAGTGCATATTTACCCACATGCAATGAAGACGAGGTCAGAGATAACCAAACTAGCGCATTTATACAGCACCATGCAGAGATATTAGCTGAGGTCTCAAAGAGAATATAACCTCGTTAGAGCAGCATTGTGCTTGGGTTAATTAGACCTGCCTCTCAAGCAAGGCTAATTATTCCCAGTACAGCACCACACTGATAATGCTCTGCTGGTTCCGGAGCCAGGTTATTCAGCAATAACTCAACCCAACACTGTACTCAAAATTGTAAACCAAATGGTTAAAAAATTGAAGCGTTATTCCAAGACAGCAGCAAGATGCACTGCACCATCTCACTATATCTACCAGGGACATCAAGATGAAAGATTAACATGTCTATACACAGAAATTGTCTTTAAATGGGAAATTCCACCACTAGCCCAACAGCTGTGCTACATAGAAAAGCTGGGAGGAAGGGAACAAATTGCTGAGGACTGATAGATCCTAAAGAAAAAAAAGAAAGAAAATGTGAGAAAATGCTAGAGGGAGGTTCAAGACTTCTACTTAAAGACCAGCTTTGAGTTAAAGCTAGAGAAAAGCAAAAGGTTTCATATTCTGTTGGCGAAGTAGGTCTCAAATACTTTTAAGTATAAATCAGAGTTCCTGTGATGAGGTCTTTAGCATTATTGCAGAACTGAGTGTGGCTTTGTTTTTACACCACTCTAACAAGCAGCCTAGCTGCAAGAACGAAGGTATGACAAACCATACTGGATGTGAGCCTTGCATTGCTGCCACACTTCCGCCATGAGACTGAATGGCCAAGAGCCTTCCATTAAAAATGATGTTTGCTTCCAGATCTTACAAGGCCATTTAATACCAGATCTATTTTCAATACAAACTCTAACAGGAAACGTGAAATAACAGAAATATATACTAACATTTTAAGCCATCAGTATATTGTAACCACTTTTCCAACAGCTTATTCCATAAAATTCCAATAGAATTAACAATTGATTTTGTTGAGGGGAGCAGAGGAACAAGACAGAAAGACCTCATTCATTTAAAAGTCAATCTACATTTGTGGTTACCAGGCTGTAAATGAGCACCTATTCTGAAAGAGCATGAACGGAGAGTTCTTTGGGGGTTTTGTTCAACACCTGCCTCATACAACATCTACTGGCCCAAAATTCACATACTGAGCAGAATGGTAATAAAACAAGTGACTAGAATATTTGGATTAATTTGCTCCCATTCCTTGCCGCTGCACATTCTGTCAGGAAATTGCAGGTATATATGTATATGTGTATTACTAAGCATGGAAGAACATTCATATCATAGCCCACATCTTTTCTCATCACACAGTTCAGATCCTATACCAATACCCAACACACCACATTTTAATTCCAACACAAGAGGGAAAATCCATGAATTCCAACAGGTGTTGGACTACTGAAAATTCACCTACTTGGCTCTAACAGCCTTAAAAAGCGTGAAATTTTAGGCAAGAGGAAATAGTGATTTAGGGAAGAGGGGGAAAGGGAATCTTGCTCAAAACTAAATAAATCATAAAGGGCGCACACACACACACACACACAAAAACAGTCTGTAGAAAAAAATGCTGATAGCAACTGAACATTTCATCTTTAACTTGCATATCCATTTTCCACTCCATTTTCAGAAATATCGTTATCTATTCTGTACAAGCTGACAAAATGAAAGGTTTTAGTAACTCAAAGCTTATCCCATCCAACCTCTGCACTTGTATGCTGCTTAATGTGCTCGTGCCTGATTGTTTCTGATAAAAAGATATAGTATATCTCACTAAAGCTGGTGATGTGCCAAATGCTCGGTGACGCAGTGACAAATAGCCTTCTCGATTCCTGACAAAATACTCCCTCTGCTGTACAATGCACACCGTTACATAAAACTCAATGCACATATATGCATATTTCAACTACAAAGAGCTCACACATACAGACAGCTTTATATAAACAGACAAGCAATTCTCTCTTCCAGATTTGTTCCGAATGGCTTCGCTGAAAATCAAGTATCATCTGCATCCACCAAATATAAAGTTATTTGTGAGTTAACTCAAATGAAGAGCATGACAGTGTGGAAGTATAAATATATAGCAGGTACCTGAACTCGAAGACTATAACATTTTAAAATGATTTAGTTCAATTTGTAGCAAATATTAGAAAATAAAGGCTCACATTCCTTGTTCAGACACGACTCTTAATATGAGGAATACAGAACCAAAATTACAAAACTATTCAGCCATAGTTTTGATTGTATTTTTCTGGTACCATCACATAGTCAGCATATGCTTTTATTCTGAACTGCTCTGTGCCTCTATAGCTTCATCATGATTCTGTGGGAAACAGTTAAGATGTGTAACAAGGCCAAAAAGACTAAAATTTCTGATGAGCTAGAAAAAAATCATAGAATCATGCAAGTTAGAAAGCAACTGTAAAGGTCACCTCATCCAACTCCCCTGCAGTGAACAGGGGACACGTACAGCTCTATCAGGTGCTCAGAGCCCTGTTCAGCCTGACCATGAGTGTCTACTGGGACAGGCATCCACCATCTTCTCCATACAATCTGTGCCAGTTCCTCACCACACTTATCATAAAAAACATTTCCCTTATATTTAGTCTAAATCTCCTTCTTTTAGTTTGAAACCATTTCCCATTGTCATATTGCAAGGGGAAGCATTTCAACTGAAGCTTTGCATCTATAAATGATGTAATCCCAGCTGCATAAGAAGCCTCAGAAAACCAAATGCATTCAAAAGACCGGGTCTGGAAGAAGCCACAGCAGTTGGGTATAATACAACAGAATAAAGTACCCCATGTAGAACCAGATTGATCTGTAGTATGTGAACTCCTGGAGTGGAGTTCAGAATCTCTGCACCAACAAATAGGGAACGGTCTCTCCAAGTTTACATCACAAATCTATTTTAATATCCAGTGCATACAGCCTCCTCTCTTGCCTGGAAAGGTGAACACATGTAGGCAGAGCACCAAAGGATGTAACAAGACAAAATTGAACGCTACTACCCATAAACAGAGGCTTAATTTTTTTAATGAAAATAAGCTTTTTTGAAGTGTGGAGGTTATTTTGGTACTTAGCTCCCCAGTCTCACAGAAATTTGTTCAAGAAAGCAGTAGTTGAGAAATAAAATCATATGCATCTGACATTCTCATTATTTGGGGATAGGGAGATATATGTATGATAGAATTGCTCAGGTTGGAAAAGATCTCAAAGATCATCGAGACCAACCACAATCTAACTATACTACCTTAACTAACAACCCTCTACTAATAAATATGCTATGTATATGCTACATATGTTTGGAGATGTTAATAAATTTAAGTCCTTAGGTCTGATTTAAGATTTAGTATCATTACACACTAGACGAGTAAAAATTCAAATTTTATCCAGATGTCAGGAAGACCATACACAGAAGTTGGCTATTCAGAGGAAAAGGAATGAAAATAGAAAAGACAACAATGCCGTCTTCTCTGGAGATACAAAAACACAGGAGATTTTCCCTCCAGAAATCCTATTAAAAACGCTGTTTTTAAAGCAGAAGTGAAGATTAATTACTCCTACTGAAATACCAACGAACTAAGTTGGTATGCTGCAGGCAGAACAAGGCTGAGCCCAGCACCACGCTGCAGGCGATCAGCCCCTTGCACTGCATCCGTACTGCCACCGGATGGCAGAAACAACACCCGATTATTTCGGTGGCTTTGCAAACTCCCAAGATGCTGCAGAAAGGCAATGCCAGGTGCATCTCCCGCTGCTCTGCTGCATTTGCAGAGCGAATGCCGAGGACATGCAGGAATGCACACAGCAGTGCAAAGCCTTAAACGAAAAAAAAAAAAAAAAAAAAAAAATTGGTGTAGTTGTAGTGCTCATTTCCACCTGACAGTTTCCTAACAGCAACAACAGTTTATGTCTTGCTGGAAAAAAAAAAAAAATAGAAAGAAGAAAAAAAGAATCAGCTGAATTTGGGGGTTTGTTCATTCAGCTTTTTGGACAAGAAGAGATTTGTGCTTTTCCTCAGCAATGAGATTTGCAAGACTGCAGACACTGCCTCCATTTTTCTGCAAGATCAACATGATAGGAAGTTTGGGAGGGGAACGTGTGGAAAGTTTCTCAACTGTAGAAGCTCAGAAAATAATCATAACTTTGTTTCTTTAACCAAGGATTATTCTATTGGATTTATATCATTTGTGGGTTGCGATCAAGCTGATGAGAGTAGGTTTTAAACACAGATTCTACTAAAGATTTGAGTCCCAGGACAGGAATATTACAAGATTTAATCTCAGCACTTTTGATCCTCACTGAAAACACAAAACCTCTTTTTATGAAGCCAGGTAGTTTTAGTATGTTTTCTGAAACAACCATTGAGATGCACCTCTCTTTCTTATAATAGTGGATTTGATAATTACCTTTCTTCTTTGTTCCCTTCCTATAAAAAAATGAAGACTTCCCAAATTAAAATTACTCTCTTTCCTACTGGGAAAAAAAAAAAGGCAAAACAAAACAAAAAAAGTAACTGACACTGGCCTCAGTAACTGACAGAGGCCTCTTGCAAAATAAATAAATAAATGAATAAAACAACTGTCTATTTTAGGTAATCCAAAGAGACAGAAATGCTTTACTACTAAACTGGAGAAAAACATTAAGCATGCTCCTGGTCCTATCCTCTGCTCAGTATTTGTAATGAAGCACCTTCCCTGCCCCTTCACAAGGCTCACTAGATATTTGCAGCTGGTAGTAGGAACCTTTTCTCCTAGCAGAGCTGCTGATTTCTGAGTCTATCCACCTGGAATTAATGGAAGCCAATAGCCTCTGGAGCAGCTTTTACCTTTCATGACTACTACACATTTCCTTTCGTTTCTATCTTGGAAAACACCACGTGCTGCTCTCTGCTTTAATAAGGCACAGCTTAACAGAGTTGAAGCAGCCTTAAATTCATTATGGTGTCATCCATCCCTTCCACTGACATCTCATGGCAGCTCCACCTTTAGCAGCACCTTTAGGAATGATACATGGCTGCAATTTTCTTCCATCTGCTAAGACTGCCAGCGTAGCAGCAGGAGCCAGGGGACTTGCTGTTGTTGACGATACTTTTGATGGTAGCACCTTTACACCTTTAACACATACAGCACAATTTGACAGTGCGTCAGGGAAGTACCAGGTTTTGACCTGCTCTGCATTTGTGTCTACAGCCATGTATTTATTTTGCACAGCCCAATGCACCGCTGAGAACCTATTGATTTTTCAGCAGGGTAAGCCCCAGCTTTCTTCCTTAACTGGGCTTGAAAGTTGTTGCTTTCAGATAAGCAAATGCATCCGAGACACACCATCACTGTTCAGTGTTTTGTTAATAAATGATAGCACATTTTGCTTGGCTTTCTCAGAAATGTCTGTTTTGCTTCAATGGATTATGGACGTACGCAGACTGGCACCGTGAACTTTTTCCCCTTCTTTCTGTCCGTGAACCTTAGCAACTGCACAATTACCCTAAAAGCAAGTCAGAGCCTACATGCTAGCTTTAGAAACAGAACCTCTTCAAACTGCTTCTTAGTCATGTTTTATTCATAATTAAGCGATCACTTTACATTTGCATTTGAGCAGTCTCACATGCTTCCTAATGGTTGCACAATTGAAATGCCTTGCTTTTCTGTTACCTGCCATTGATTGCTTTCAAGCGTTTAATTTATTTTATGATTGAGAATGCAGATCATAATATTAAATATGTTTTCATGTTCAGTCTGGTGTAAATTCATGCTAAAAATAAACATGAAAGGCTTAACATAATAAGCAAAGCATCAGAAGAGTACATCACAGTCCAGAGCAGCTATATTGAAATAACTGTATCATGAGCATGGATGAAGGAAGAGCAATTGCAGCATCTCTTTTCCGAGTTATCACATACACATTCTTTTTTTCCTAATACGCGAATCAAAAATAATTCAGAGTCCTTCTGTCTTCACGGGTGAGCAAACAATCACTTTGAAGTGAATCTCCAAACATCAGGGCATTTCATTTCACAAAGAGTAAATATGTCAGTAAAGTTCTACACCATTATGAGATTGGGGAAAATATACTGCTTTATAGTGTGATAAAGCAGCTCAACGCCCATCAGTCCAGTTCCAGCTTTCATTTTTCTGTATGAGAAACACAAAAAACTCCCCTAATTGTTTTCTCCATATTAGATTTGTTCTGCACGTACCTCACCTCTTGCTGTAAAGTAGAAAAGATTGGTTGTCACCCGCAAGACAGAAGGTAGGGGCCTGCTGCATTCCCCCACTACTACATGGCTTGTCATGGGTCTCCCCCAACCCTCATCGCTCTGAAAGACCATTCGTTTTTAATTAACTCATCAACATGAGATATAAACTCTGTCTGTTCATTTTTGGACACGCTGCAAAAGATGTAATTGGCATAAAATGCAGGAGGAAGTTTGGGAGAGGTATCCCATAAATGCATTTCATATCAAATCCTGCATACCTCACACTGAAATTATCTTCAAATAACTTGACAAGAAAAATATTGCTAATAGTTACATATGAATCCTGCAAGAAAATAATCTTGCACTATCAGTCTGTTGCAAAACTTCACATCACAGTTGGCTTCTCAATGATTAGCAGTGGGTTTCAGGGAAAGTATTCTTGAAAGGTTATTAGTATCGTGGTGTTTGAATACAGGAGAAGAACTGTATCTGTCTCTACATTCAAGTAAATACTGGACTACATTCACAATGTAAAAGCCATTCTAATAATTACAGTGGTCAGTGATTCTGACTTCAGAACACAAGATGGCAGCCTCCAAAAGGGAATAGGAATTTGTCCCAAATCACTTCCTGGAACACCTTCAAATGGTACCCCAGACTTTTAATAAAGACCCTGTGTCTTGAACTGCAACTGTTTAAAAAACCTGATCATATTTTTTCTTAAGGATTAATCACTGAAATCATGAATAAAAGCAAAAAATAAAATAAAATAAAATCGACAAACATAAGAAATATAAGATCTATTTCATTAAGAGAAAAAAAAGGCACATTAAAAGTAGGTTATGGGAAATATTTATTTTTTTATATATGACTTCTCAGAAGACCATGCTTTCAGTACAAAATGCAGACTGCTATTCCACAACTAGAATTTATAAGCAAAACTCCATAATACATAATACAAAAGGTCATCCAAGGACTAGTCTTCCTTTACTATACAAAAATAAATGAAGTGAAAGCTTCTTCCCATAACGGAATGTGCACATGACTGAATCGTGATTTACAGACGAGCAGCCAAAAGACAGATTTCAGTCACAAACACCAGACCATACTAATCCTCAGTAAGCTTCCCTGACATTGCAGGTTACCTGAAACTGTACTAAGCAGAGATTTAGCATGATTTACTTTCCTTCTTAGACAATATATGCACATGGTTTGCATGCAAATAGAAACGTAAATTCCCGGATGGGATTCACCTTCTGCAACTTTTACCTACAAAAGCCGTAGAAAACTCCTTCTGATTCTCAGAAAGCAGAAAAAAAAAATAAGCTATGGATATCACACGAAAATTCTGGGAAAACTGAAACTGAAAGGATATTTTTTCAGCATTATTATGACTCTATCATGGGTTGCATATGAGAGCCCACAACAAAAGAAAAAAAACTACTTGTTTAACACTGTTCCATTGACATTCATATCACAATAGTAATAATGACCCTGTTATGTCTTAAGTCACAATTTTAAATTATATGTATGACTAATTCAAAATAAAAATAATGTCTTGGTTGTTTTTCATCATTTTAAGCTAAACATATTCTAATGCTAATGAATCTGTGTACTGCAAATAGCTAGTTAACAAAAAATAGACTTTCCACATCAGTGATGAATCGTGCTTTCCGCTCCCTTTGTGATTAAAGCTTTTATATCCCTTTCTTTCCAGATGCAAAGTTCTATTAACCAATAAAATTCTCATTAGAAAGTCCCTATTGCCATCCACTGCCAAGAGAGGAAGCCTGGGCCGGTTTGGGCTAAACATCTAACTCTCTAAGTTGCTAAAATTAGGCACATCAAATCCCATATTCAAAGCTGGTGCATCCAGCTGAATAGCACCTGCTGTGGCAACAGCAAATAAAAATGCCTGTGAGTAGAAAATTACATTTACAGTATTTATTAAGGACTTAGGATCAGAACGGACAACAAAGACACTTCCAACAACAGCCAGTGTCATGTGCTAACCATTTTACCTGGAAGGCTTCTGCACCACCCAAATACTTCCCCACAAGCCATATGACACCTCAAACGCTTTGTAAGATACAAAACCAAAGTGACAAAAAACTTTGATGTCTCACAAAGTTTAAAGGCAATTTAAAGCTGGAGGCTGGCATGCAAGACGAGTGTGTAGGCAGGCAAAATCCTTTACAAGAGCAAGGCCTGAAGGATGCTGCGATGAGAATCGTAACTAATATAACAGATGGCGGAGCGCAGCACACCCTTGTATTCTGGCACACTGCAGTTACTGCCTATCATTTGGTTGCACCTGTGTCTCTCTACTCAAAGATTAAAGTCCCGGGAAGCTGAACATATTTTGCTTCCACTTTCTGTCTCTACCACGCAGTCCTTCCGGCTCTCAACGTTCTGAGGTCTCCACCTAGGCAAGCTAACATCACAGGAAAAACAGAATGCATATTCTGCATATTCAGACAGCCCACCACTCACCTCCGAGCAGGAGCAAAAATCCCAAAGGCTTTCCTACAGGCTACAACTGATTTTGAATGTTTCAGGACCCACTCCCTGTAGGTATTTGACTCTCTACCTTGTGCTTTCTCTCAATATTCCGCTCTATAGTTTAGCTGCAAGGTTTCATTTTTTGTACAAGGAGACCTTTTCCTCTCATCTCCCAGGCTTTTTTTTTTTTTTTTTTCTCCAGACTAAGAACTCCAGTCCCTTCAGCACTTTTCCTTCACATCATCCCTACATTACACCAAACTGATGCCTTCCAGCATCCATGAGAATCCTTTCTCCAAGTAGAAGCTTCACTAGAGCAGCCTGGAGTGGAAGGATTATCTCTCCTACTGCGTAGTACACCCCACATGGTAAGAGTAGCACTTCTTGCTTTACAGGATTGCATTAGGTCACCTCAAGTACTGTGTTCAGTCTTGGGCCCCTCACCAAAAAAAAAAAAAAAAAAAAAAAGACACTGAGGCCCTGGAACGTATCCAGAGAGGGGCAACAAAACTGGTGAGGGGTCTGGAGCACAAGGCTTACGAGGAGCGGCTGAGGGAGCTGGGATTGTTCAGTCTGGAGAAGAGGAGGCTCAGGGGAGACCTCATTGCACTCTACAACTTCCTGAAGGGAGGTTGTGATGAGGAGGGGTTTGGCCTCTTCTCCACAAACAGGATCTGACGAAATGGCGACAAGTTGCACCAGAGGAGGTTTAGGTTGGACATAAGGAAGAACTTTTTCTCTCAGAGGTGGTCAGGCACTGGAATGGCTGCCCAGGGAGGTGGTGGAGTTGCTGTCCCTGGCAGTGTTTCAAGAGGCATCTGGATGAGGAGCTACGAGAGATGGTTTAGTGGCTTGTGGTAGCAGTGGTAGTGGGAGGTCAGTTGGCCTAGATGATCTTGCAGGTCATTTCCAATCTTGTGATTCTATGATTACATTTATTTCAGCTCATTTCTCCACTATTTTTTTCCTCCTAGACCAATATTAATTTCAAGCCTGTTTCTCAAGTATACATATTTCAGCATCTTCCCAGAAATTCAAGCTAAGCTGAGAATGTACCTTTCCCATCTTGCATCCCCATTTATCAAGTTAGCTCTCTGCTACCCTTTATTTCTCCTGGTACACCAGGCCCTCTCTGTGACCGCTCTAGAAGTTCTATTGTCAGATTGGACTGAACAAATTTTACTGCAAACCTCTTAGAAAAAAGATGAGGCAAACTCAAACTATCTCATTTAAATGGTCTCTGTCTTGTGCTTCCTCTCTGCTCCAGCAGAGCTGTTACTACCATGCTGCTTATGTATGCAGAGCTAACCTTTTCTGCAAGCTTAACATTGAGGGATGGAGGACAAAAAACTTGCCTCTCTCCTCTAATCCTTGGTTGTTATCCCTCCAAATGATTATGAAACATCTTTGTCACTGACTGTCAGCACAGCAATGAAGTCCCTAGAGCAAAGCAGGATCAAGTATAAAGAGCAAATAAACATCCTCATCATTCTTC